GTCTGTACAGTGCCAGCTATACAGACTTATACAGCTCTGTACATCACTAATCTGGCCGAAAAAGGCCTGCTGTTCAGTAGATTTTGCATATAACCCTGCATAACTCACCAAGAGTGCCAAGCTGGCTTCAAAATCCACTTTATAGAGTTTAACAGTGTAATTAATTGAAAAAGTGGTGAATTTAAACCTAATCAAGTTAAATCTGTACTGTATACACTGGAACAAGTCATGATTTGTGCTGATTCAATCTAGTGCTGGCTGGCTTGGAACCTGCAAATATCATCAAAAATCAAAAATCATGGTGAGCAACAGTGACAATGCAACTCAGAAGGTAATATGACAATATTTATATTATAAACAACAATTAATCAGATTTGCTGCTGTAGAAGTGATTTATTAAAGCATTTCAACTATTTTATCTAACATACAATTCATATATTCTGATTCATTTCATGAATTTCAATTTGTCATTCAATTGTTGAATCCTACCTCCCATCTACTGTGTATTAAGAATATGATATAAATGAGTGTCAGTACATTCATTGTATTGATTGATTGATTGAAAAGTAATATTGATATTTGCAAATCAGAAGCAATACATGCTATAAAAATTGAATAAAAGATTTTCATATTCTTGTATATTACAATATAAAAAATGAGTTATCAGAACACTGCAGAGATATTTCATCATTTATTAAACACAATATTTAAATAAATATAAATGATAAAATACTCATCAAATTAATGTTATATTAATAACTTGTATAAAGTCTTTCATGAGGTTTTGAAATCACTCTGCATACTCTATAAACATTATATCAAGATGTTTGAATTCTCAATGAAATATAATAAAAAAGCTTTTGATTCAAATCTATGATATTGATCTTTCTTTAAAAAATCTATTGAAATTTTAAATAAAATTTATTTATTTATTTTTATTTCTTTGAATCAGTAATGGTTGCGATGGCGAGTGCGCGGCCGGAAACGGCGTTCCCCGCCGGATCCGGTGAAGCGCCGTCCGTGTGTGGTCTAGCGCGGATCGATGCGGTCTGGCGCTGCCCCGTTCGGGCATGGCGTTGACCCACCGGTCAGCTTCGACTCTCCGACGTCATCTGTCGCGACTATATAAAGCTGCTTCGACTGCCTCCCTCGCACACGCACTTCTGCGTCCTTATTTCCCTTTCCCCTTTCTCCCCTTCCCTTCATCCATTTCCTTTCTCTTCTCTTCTCTGCCCCCCTGCCGTCTCGTCCCCCCGACCCACTGCCACTTCGCCACCACCCAGCCGTCCATCACCCTGATTTGGTCGCCGCCGGTCGAAGAAGGCCTCTGCGGCATTGGCATCAGCATCGAACCCGCCTAGGGTTCTTTTTCATATATGCCATATGTGTTCTTTGCCTTACGCCTTCTTCCATTCCTCTTCCTGCTCCTTCACTCTCTACTCCACGTGCTCGCGTTGAAGTCATACATGCGATCTCAAAAACAAAACAA